TTCAGTTGGACAAAAGATGAATGTGAAAATTTATCTTGGTATTTTGCTCAAAGTTCATCTGATAATGATTCAATATCGACGGTACTTAAACTTTACGAACAATCCGGTGATAATCCCGCCAAAATACCTGTACGGATTATAAATTTAAATTTTCATAAACAATACAATATTCCATCTTATTTTATTATTATTATTATTTTTGTTGTTGCAGGATTCGAACAGATTAGAATTTTTAAATAGTGAAAAAATGACGGTTGATAATAACACAGCAGACGACATAAACTACTTGAGAGGTGGGTTCAATTGTCAACGGATTTCAAATGGGAAAAAATTTAAAAAAAAAATGGGACTTAATGGAAAACCGTTATTGATCCTTCCGAATGCTATTTTTACAATCACTTTACAATAAAATAATAATAATAATAATACAAATTATTATTATTATTAAAGTGAAAGATTTTTGCTTCGGACTCCACGTGTAAAAAAAATATGTACGAAGCATATTTTGTCTGTTTTTTATTTTCATTTCAGAAATTCTTATAAAAAACAACAGAGGACCACAATTAACATGGCTGCAAGGTTTACTCATCGAAGTTTGCTACGTTAAATTGGTTAAGGATTTAAATTGCGACGTTAATTACGATCCGATTACAAAACCTTTGGAACCTATACCTCATTATTATTCACGTAAGATTATTTTTTGCGTTGTCCCAGGTTCGCGATCCCCCCCCCCTCTTTTTTTTTTTTTACATAATTTTTTTTTAATTTGCAGATTTGAATCAATCCATACCAATAGTTTCGTGGAATGCTGAACAAGCCGACGTTCTTCTTCTTCAACCGTTTCAATTGTTATTACATAAATTAGGATTTCATTTACCCGCGGATACGGGTAAAGTTTTTGCAAGGATACCGAGTTTTTGGACGGTCGATGTTTTATTTAGCGTCGCACAAAAATTAGGACCCATCGTGACGTGTCAGTAGTAGTCCTACTATTAAAATCTATCGATTCATGCTTTTCATGCACGACGAAAAAATTGTTTTCTTTTTCTTTTATTCTTCACAGCAAAATTAAAATTTGAAACAAAGTATTTAACGGAAAAATTAAGCGATTTTAAAAAACAAGACAAAGAACAAGGAAACGCGGTTAAAAATGATACCCAATCGTATTCATTTTCAAAGGGTAAACATCATTCCTGTCTCATCAAATATAATCCGCTGTACGTATTAAAATAAGTCAAATTTACTTAAAATGTCGTCCCGACGATGTGGCGATTTGTTTACAAACAATTTTTTTGATGACGTCAATACTACCACTACTCTGACGTCATTTATTTACTTTTTTTTTTTTTTAATTTTCCAGGCCGAATTCTACTCATCATTGGTTGGATTTGGTAAGACATGGAAACACTCTACCCATAACAATAATCGAATCGAGGTAAATATGGAAAAAAAAAATGAAATAATAATAATAATAATAATCCACATCGTCATCACACAATATTTTCGGTTTGTTTAGAAGTAAAGAATGCGACGTTATGGATTCGGACGTGGCAAGCGTTTGTAGCATATGCGAAACAAACAGAGAATTATCATCATCATCAGTTGCATCGGATTTAACGAGAATGTGTATAAGCGACGAAGAACCCATGACAATGTTATAAAAAAAAATCTTAAGAAAATTAATACGGAAATAATTTCAATTGTTTTTATTTAATAATTTGTTATGAACTTTTTTTGTTATGTTTTAATTTGTTTGTTTGTTGTTAATTTAAAATATTTGTCAAGACAAACAAACAAACAAACGCGCTTGTTGTTTTTGAGTCGTTGTCAATTGTAAATTAAAATTTTTTCTTTTTTCTTTTATACCACAGTTGTCATTTGTTAATAATAATAATAATAATTTGTTATAAATATGCTCAAAAATAATAATTTTTTAAATTTATTTATTTATTTATTTATTTAGTTGTTAAAATGTATTTATTTAAATACATTTATTATGTAAATATATAAATCGGTGTCGTCATCGTCGTCGTCGTCGTTAAGTTTTTCGCTTTATTATTATTATTATTATTATTAAAACGTTTATTTTTAAATAGAAAGAAAACGATGCCTTAAAATTTAATAATTATTATTATTATTATTAATATCGTTAAATAAAACTTTTCTGTTGTTTTTCATTATTATAATATTGTTGTTAAATTCGTTACGAAGGAATAATAATAATAATAAAAAATAAATTTTATGACGTCATAAATTTTATAAATTTTTTATATTATATATATATGTACATGTTAAATCAACAAAAAATATTATTATTATTATTATTATTATGAATGTAAAAATGTTTTTATAAAAAAAAAAATGATTCGTTATTTAATCGAAATATATTTGTAATTATTATTATTATTATTATTTAATTTAAATTTAAATTTAAAATTTTTTTTTTGTTAAATGTCTCGTAACTCTTGTTTAATTTTTTAATAACAATAACGAATAAACATTAGAAAAAAAACATAATTTTAAGTAATATGTATCATACGAGTACTTTGTTATAGAAAGATGAAATCAATCAGTCAATCAATCATTCAATCAATCAATCAATCGATCGATTAACTATTGCCTTCAAATTGTTATTTCAAGTGGTAAATTTATTTTAAAATGTATTTTATGTATATATTTATATAATTAATTACGTATTTTATATTATTAATCGTTTGTTTTACATTATACTGAAACGAAAAAAAAAAAAAAGTAATAGTGATAAATTATTATATATATATTTTTCTCTTACAGCTGATAATAATATGAATCGTATAAATCTGATTGGCCGAAATAATTACAAACCAAACAAAAAATTATATCTAGAATTGTTACATCTGGATCATTATTCGACTGAAAGTAAAAATTAATTTAAATTTTATCACTCGTAAATTATAATTAATTGTAATTATTTATTTACATTACCTTTGTTAATCTAATTTTAACACATTTTTTAGCAATTTCTCTAATAGTACTACATGTTTCAGCTGTCAATGGTAAATCTAAACATGCTAAAAGAGAATAAATCCATTTCCCTTGATTAGGTTTTAATTCATCATCCAACCAATCTTCTTGATATTCTAACATTCTCGCTAACAAGGGTTCGCTCATTGACAATAACATTGTTAACAATGGTTCTAATTTTGTCGAGTCATCTCCATAACATATTTGATGCCATTTTTCTTCCAAATTTATATTCGGCTGTAAGTTTTATTATTATTGTTATTTTATATTTTTCCATTAAAATTCTGCAATCGATAAAAAGCACAAACATAATAATAATAATATTTACCAATGGTATGGGAATAAATTTTTCAGATTTTTTACACCGATTAACTTTTTTTCTAAGATCTGAAAATAATGCAATTTGTCGATTCTGCCATTCTTGTGAAGGTATCAGTTCTCTTCTTACAATTGGACAATTTAAATTTTTAACATTGAATTTATTATTTAATCTCTTTCTGTCTATGTTTTTTGCAACGACTACTTCTGGACAATTTGCAGCTTCGTACCTGTTTTTACATTTGTTGTAAAATTAATATTTATTCGACAATCCATTCAAACCGATAATTAATAATAATAATAAACATACATAACATGTTGCAAATACTCGAGACCATTTGTGGGTAATATTGAGGGATCAAAATTTTCAGTAATTTCTTCGACTTGAAAAGCTCTAGGCAAACAAACATCATCCATGATTTATTTGAAAATATTTTATATGTTTAAACACTTTGTATCATGTAATTTTCCTAAATATATTTTTTGTTTTTAAAACTTTTTAGGTACAAATGAAGATGATGAAGTTAACGACGACATTTAATTTAAAAAGAAACGAAAAATTGGGAAATCATTGACAGATGTAAGTAGATTTTTAATAATTTAAAATAAATAAATAGGGATCGAGTTGGAAAAAAAAAAAAAAAAAAAAAACTCGTAACGAAAATTTTTTTTTTTGTTTTTAAATTACCGATGAAATATAAATATCACGAATAATTTTTTATTTAAAATAAGTTAAATTATATATTTATATAAATTTATCTCATGAACGACAAAGTATTTGTTTTTTTTTTTCCATTTTCGTTTTCATTTTTGCTTTGCAGATAGCAAAAATTTTTTTTACACGTGACGTGTCAGTAGAAGCCGCCATTTAATAAACCCCGCTTTTTTACAGCGGTAATTTGTTCTAGTGAAAAACGTTACAGTGAAATCTTAAATCAAATATCTTTATTTAAAATACTATTTAATGCTTTTCAAACAAACGAAAACAACCTTCACGGTGAGTTTTTTTAATGTAAATAATAATAATAATTATTATCGTGATAAAAAATAAAAATAAAAATTACGTTCATAGTTTTTTACTAATCTCCATGATGAGTTAATTCTGTGAAGAATTAGAAGAAATTTTTTTTTTTCATTTTAAGGATTATTAAAACTATTTATGACGTAATTAAAACTTTTCTAATTGAAAAACAAAACAAAAACTGATAGTAAAATTTTTTGCTTAACAAATTCATTATAAAACATGATAGAGAACATAATGATGATATTGACTTTTTTTCAATGAAGTTTATATATACATAAAAAAAATGTGTGTGTTTGTCTATATCATGATGTTGATAAAAAATAATTCACTGAATTAATTTGTTAATTAACATCATGATAAGAAAGAGAAGCATACACACACACACACACAGAAAAAAAAAATTCAGGTCTGAACTTAAATCAAACATGATTTGAACGGTTGCCATTAATTATTATATTGCCAAAAAAAATTAAAAACAATTTTTTTTTTTTTTTATATCTCTTTACAAAATATATATATTTAAAACAGTATTTTGATATTAAATATTAATAGAACCAACAAACAAACTTTTACTTTTGTAATTTATAAATTTTATTTTAAAAAAATTTGATTTAATGAGAATAATCATCATAACATTTATTCATGGAAGACATTTTGATATTAAAAATTGTACATAATATTTAAATCACGTTTTATTTAAAGTGTGATTATTGAATTTTCTTCACTGAAAATCAATCAATCAATCAATCAATCATCATTATTATATCTCTTTTTTACATAATATATGAAACGTTTGAAGGACTTTATTATTAATACAAAAAAAGAAAAAAAAATCAATATGCTAATTATTAAAGTAAGCTTTTCATTTGTTGTTTATTATTATATTATTATTATTATTATTATTATTATTATTATTATTATTATTATTATTATTATTTTGCAATTCGTATAAGTTAAACATATGAGAAAGAAAATTTTATATATATATATAAATCGAAGTAAAAAAAAAAAAAAAAATTTATTTTTAAATTTATTTATTTATTAAGAGGCCTTCCTCATTTCCGTTACGATTATTTTTTTTTTTTTTGTTTAAAAAAAAAAAAAAAAATAAAAGGAAGGTAATTTGATATTTTAACGTTTTTATTTATAAATATTATTATTATTATTATTATTATTATTATTATTATTATTATTATTATTATCATTATTTGCGTAAAATGAGAAAATATTTGCAATTAAAAAAAAAAAAAAAAAAATTGCGAAATTTGCAGTTGTAATTTTTTTTTTTTAAATTTAACACAAAAACAACCGCAAAAAAAATCATTTTTGTAATTTTTTTTTTTTTTTTATTTATATGATTTATTTTGGGGGGAGGAGGAGATTCCAACGAAACCAAAATGTCAGAAAGAGAGAGAGAGAGAGAAGGGGAGACAAAAAAAAATAGTTTAAACCTTGATTTTAACCGATCAACCGATGTAACAAAACAAATAAATTATTTTTTTTTTGCTTTCACTAAATAAATAACGTTACGTTACAAAGCAACCGTTAAATACTAATAATAATAATAATGATGATAATAATAATGATAACGTAATAAGTTCGTACGCGCACGCGCGTGTAAAATATATGCGAGAAAATAATAATAATAATAATAATAAAATTTTGTAACAAATAATTTATTATTGTTTTACGTTTCGATCGAACCGTTACAACTACCCCCTTCCCCCCATTAAAAATAAGAAAAAATTTTGTTTTTCTATTGACACGTGGGGGGATCAATTAATATTATTATTATTAATTAAAACAAAACGAGTTTTTCGTATTGTTGTAATCCATGATTTTGTCCAAAAAAAAAAAAAAAAAATTTAATGTGTGACAAAGATTACATTTTCGTCAACAACCACAACAACAACAACATAACAAGTTTTTCTTCTTTATTTACTAATAATAATAATAATAATAATAATAATAATCGTGTGATATTTATTTTGACTATTTCAAATAAACGAATCCGGTCGTTGTTTATTAATTAAATAAATAAAAAAAAAAGAAGCCTAAACGAGGTTAGCTAATATTTTAACAAAACGTATTTTAATAATTAAATAATAATAATAATAATAATAATAATAATATCACGAAGCTCGATTGCCCTTCGTGGGCAATAACGTCACGATGTTGTTTGTCCCACAACAACAACATCGACGACGTGTTGTTTGTTTGTTTGTTTGATGACGTTCCAGGTTTCTAACGAAGGTTTTTTTTTTTTTTTCTAGGAAAAAATAAAAGAAGAAAAATTTTTTTTTTTTTTTTTTTAAATGGAAAATTACGAGACGTGTGTGTGCCTTGATACCAACTTAAAATTTATTTAATCGGAAATGAATATTATTTAACAATATTAATAAACGCCCAGGTCACGGTGAGCTTGATATTTTTTTTTGTTTAAATAATAATAATAATAATAGTAAAGCTCTCGGGATAATAAAATCCCACAGGAATTTTTCGTGCCTTCTTTCTCTCTCTGTCTCTGACGTGGCAAATTTCAAATTGTTTCGATAACGTTTATATATTATTATCATTATTAAGTTTAATAATTATTTATATTTATATTTAAAACCCGCCTTATTTACAATAATAATAATAATAATAATAATAATAAAAACGTGATCGATGTTATTATCATTATTAAAATGTTTACATTAATGTTAATGATAATAATGAAAAAGTTAATACTTTTGTACGACATTTTTCTTTTTTTTTTTTTATAGGAAATTTTAAAAAAATAACGGTTTTTATAAAAACACGCAAACAAACACTAAAATGATGTAAATTTAAAAAAAAATTGTTTTTTTTTTTTTTTTTGTAACCGAACAGTTTTCA